AGAAATCCGCGCCAACGAGCGGAGACCAGTTGAGCGCGAGACTCCGAGCCGAACGGTTGTACGCACGGACGCAGCCCGGTGACTAAATCTACGATACGATTTCGTACCAAGCATTTCGTAACATAGTTTTTGCCCTTAATCGGAAGTATTCACTGTCATATTTCGCTATTGCCTACTCTCTGAAATAGTCGGATATATTAATACAATTATTTCGAACTTGTGACAAGTGACACGTAATCGCGTATGTGGTGATCGATTGTCATCGAGTCTAAACAGTGACTCTGTGGATTTCTCAAGTTGGCGTTTTGACGTTTCTCCGAGGGAATTCGAGTGGCAGAAAGCATCGTGTCATCCGGTACCCACCGGTGAGTCGTTGCATTTCATTTTTTATTTACACGTCTTTCCTTGCATTTTAAACCGCGATCATATTTTTCTACGGACGAAATGAAGTGTCTTGAGGGTCTCGTATCGCGGTACTTTGCGGGTTTCTTGCGTGTATCGATGCACGACACGGAACGCGTCGCAATATTCTTTTTTTCTCGATGTTCGTGCGTCGAACAGGAAATAATGCGAAGACCTTTAACAGTTCGGGCAGCTGCCACCGACAAGCAAGAAAAAAACTGGTCCGGTGTTGTGCCGGTGCGTTGAAATACCGTGGCTGTGGTGTCTGGCACGTGACTAGCCGACTGCTTCCGAGTTACCGCGATTACCGATCGAAATTTCGCTGATTGTTTCGTGTCCAGTTTTGTTTTCTCTCCTCACACTGGCGTGTTATACGAATTCCTTAGCTGTAGACAGCAAGGTGAACGGAAGTGGATGAGATAAGCGTCAGACAGACGGAAATTTGGCGGGCGTTTGAAGTGCACGGTGTCTGCTGTTTTCGTTGAAGTTTATCGGTCGAAAATTAGATAGACACCGTTCTTAGAGAGCGTCTGGCGATTTGAAGTTCGTCTCGAACGTAGAGATGGATAAAGAGAGACACGGTGAACGTCTGGAATGTTTCTCCGCTTGTCTCAAAGCGGTGTAATGTTCAGATTAATCGAGTGGCTTTGAAACGTTTTACCTTTGACGATGATGCGCCTTTATCGTGAAAGCGAAATTGCCGAAAACGTTTCCATCATATAAGTGCACAATATAAGTTGACGATTCTTTCCAATGATTTGTATCATCGATTATACGGAAGCATTTTCTCGCGTTGGAAGTTTTGCCGAGATCGTCGTGTCCGGCTATTAGGTTATAGAATTAAGTGCGCGCGGCAACGTCTGTAATTATACCGTGAGCTGAGCAATTTCTTCGTGCTGGCCTATATCGTTGACGTTTAATTTCACTCGTGTAGTCCCGTCGTTACAACATGTTAACTTTCTAGCGTGAAGGTGAAGTGCAATCAATAATTCGAAAAACAAATTGCTGTGGAACGATTTTGAGACAAGTGTCGGATAGTTTTCGTTTCTATCTGTTTCCCCTTTGTTTTGCAGTTCTGTTTTGGTTTCTTCTAATCTGTTGTGTGGTGTTTCGTAGAAATCCCGCGTATCTAGTATTCCCGGCACAATAATTTACCAAATGATAGTACGTGTAAACTAGTCGCGAGATCTGTTGCTACAATTTTTTGTACGATAATCGGTTGGCTTGAATTTTGCTTGTTTTTATAACTTATGACCTGTAGAATTTCTTCGAAACGATTTTAAGTTATGCATCTGGTATTTTCGTTCCTATTTGTTTTTGTTGTTCTTTTTTGTCCGTGTTCAGTTTCTTCTAATCTGTTGTGGTAATTCGTGGAAGAGAAGTAATAATTCTAAGTACTTGGTCTTCGTTGCGCAATAATTTACGAAACGATAATATTTATGAATTGGTGACAAGTTTTACTCTAACAAATTTACGTCGAATATGATAAATAGTCGATTTCTAGGATCATGCATGTTTTCGTAACAAACTAGTTTTTATACGTCGTGATTTATGAAATTTCGCTAATAATGTTAAATAGTACAAAAAGACTATGGTGATTTTAAATATGGTAATCGTAGTGATCGTGTTCACTGTAAGGTGTAATTGATATTTGTCTGAAAATCGACTTGTTAGTTATTTTTGTTCGAAGTTGTTTCTGACAAGAAATTATGATTCTCTTATTACGTATTACATCAGGATATTTTTAATTGAAAAGTCAGTTTTTGAATTATGAAGGTATCATTCTGTACCTTCGTGCTAACACGCGGTATAAAATTATCGCGCAGTTATAACAGTGAATTATTGGAAGCAAGCAAATAAATCTCGTATTAAAATTATGATTGTCATTGTTATCAGTATAGCAGGTTGTAAGAATAATTCTGAGGTATAGCTCATTTAATCACTACATGGTCATTTCTTTTTCGAGTATAAGCCTACTCTGATGGAAAATCATAAACGGCTTAAAGTGATTTCTGATTGTAATACGTTCTTTTAATTGACAATACATTTTCATATCACGATACATTATTCCGTGCTTTTGTGCCAGGAGAACATAAAATATTGCGGAATGTATTAAAATACTAAATTATTTGAATCACGCGAATAAATTCTGTGTTAAAATCATGATTAGTACTGCCACTCCTATGAATATAGCAGTTCGTTGGTATAATTCTGAGATATAGCTCATTTAATCGTTACATCATGAATATTACAAATTTGCCTGCGGGACTTGACACGTTCTGTACTGTATTTATTAGCAGGATGCAAATAACTTGAATATTCTAATATTTTGAGCAACGTGCCGTCTCGAATCTTTCTCCAGTGAGTCATGAAATCATTTCGCCAAAGTTGTGTTATATAGTGAACAAAAAATAATACAGATTGTGTTTTTACAGCAACTAAACTAACAAAACTGCGAATACTAATACGTAAATATGCAGAAATATATAAAATATATATAGGTATGTTAAAATGTATAAAATTTCCAATATACTGTGTACGTAATTCGTTTCTTGGCTGACCAATTTAATATTAGGATATTGAAACACTTTTCAGACATCACTTTATTTATGACGAGAAAAGGAAAAACCACCATGTCGATAAACTGGTTTTTAAATTAACTTAAAAATACCATATCCATACTACGGAAATTAAACAATAGAAACGAAGTAATTTAAAACAGATCAAAAGAAAAGAACAAGATTCTAAACAACATCGTATTCTTTTCTCTCTTTCGAAAGTCGCTTCGTCGCGGCACGGCGTTATTCTGGCGGAAAAACTCGTGACAATTAAGGAAGCTGGCGAGAACTCAAACATTTGCATAACGTCAGATTTACGAGAGTCGTTGCCTCCGCGGAATTATCATATTTATACGTTACTTAACGCGGCTCCCGTGTATTTCACGCCGAAAAGTTGCCGCGAGCCAGAGCCCACGGTGGTCGACAACGATAACTTCTCTCGCGATTAAAAGTTTCCAAGGCTTGTCTCTCGGAGCTCCTCGAAACCGAGTAGTTTCTGATATCGAAACCCGTGGCCGGGAAAACAGAGGGGACACTGCAATTGGTTCGCTCGGATGCTCTCATAAGAGGGGTAGATTCTGCGACGAGAATCGATGACGAAATGGAAACTCCGGTGAAACAATGAGACGTAGAAATCGTAATGCAGGAATAGAGGGAAGGTAAGGTGCGTAGAACGGAGTGAAAAGTTGGAAAAATCGAGTGGAAAGTAGGCCTCCGATGGAGCAACGTGTCCCGGGGAGAAGCGAAGACACTGACGAGATCGATCCACTTTGTCAGCGTGAAAGACGGGGGTGGAACTTGAGACACGGAGGGGTTGGCCGAGTCCCTTTTTAAAAAGGAGCCAACCAAAGGGAGCCTGCCGGTACTTTCGACCGCGTTGAAAATCTTTCTCTTTCTCTGGCTCGTTTCAATAGATTCCGTGGTATATACGTCTGGTTAGGTGTTTACTCGCGATCGTAAGGAGAGTTTTCTCGTGGACTGAAAGAATGAAACCCCCTCGGCGAATGGGAATAGAAAAAGGTGGATGTCGTTTAGTGGCGCGTGGGGCGTGGCGATCTCTATTTCGAGGACCACAGCTTCTCCCGGTAAGCTTTATTGCATAAAGAAGGCAAAGTTGCCATGAATCGAGGTCGCAAACAAAAAGTGTAACGTCGAACAGGGTTCGTTCCAGTCTGTGCATCGGTGCTCGCATTTTTACCGCTAGTCCGTTAAGCCGCTTACTTATCTCCTTTATCGAACCCTATTAGGGCTAACAGGAATATCCGTTCCTCGATAACGAAAACGCTCCGTTTATCGGTCTAGGTAAACTGCACACAGTCTGATCCGATCTATCTGATAAACGGCCGACGTCGATCACCGCGAATCTCCCGATCGATCGTCGAGATCGTTTTAATTGTTTCTTCTAGATGATCTTGATAGGTTTTCTGGTTTCCACGGAGCTTCGAGATGGTTTGCAGATTAGTCAAGCTATTTGAATTTGAATTTATGCAAATCGAGTTACTTGACTTTGAATCATTTAATTGAATACCTAATCTGATTTCAAGTGTATATAATGAAAACTGGTGCTATTAGGTTCAGAAAGGGTAGTTTAAAAAAAGTTGGTTTAAGAGTTAATCGGGAAGCATAAAATGACATTACGTTATCTATCGACTGTTATTCTTATCAAGTCAAGGAATAGTTGGTAAAACCTCTATCGCACTTAAGTCTGTCTGCTTAGAAAAATTTAAATTTTATTTATCTATCATTAAAGTTTTAGAAATTAATGTTTCAGAAATTACGTGAAACTATGTAAATGGCAGATATTTCCGTTTGAATTAAAAATAATTATATGAAAGATGTGAATGTAAAAGCGGTAATAGTAGAATAGTTTCAAGTTGGTTAAACTCCGAAAACTTGGTTAATCAGGATGAGGTTTCTTTGGGTTTGTGAGGTGCAAAAGATTTTCTGTGCCGATTATGCTGGACAGATTCGTATCTTTGTCGCGTATCGTTACGTTCACCTTCGGACGACATTTTTTAGTCTCGTTCATTAAACGCGGTGACTCATGACGTCGGGCTCGTTATGCCTCGTCATAATTTTCTCGAGTACTCTGAGATTACGACGCGCGATAAATCCATAACGGCTTAGGAATTCGTGGCTATTCGTGGGCCTCGTTTGTCAACCATTTCCGTGCGCTTTGTTGCCTGCTAAGTGGCTGAAGAAATCGGAACTGGCGCCGTACTTAAATTTCTGGTTTTAGCTGTGATATCTGAAATCTCCGAGATTTCATATACAGATCTCCATAATTCTTCATCACTGAACATCGTATAACAACAATGTGATTATATAACTCTCTGTTGGGAGTTGTATTATATTGTATTGGATACAGTATTAGACATTTTGGAAAATTCGTATGTTTATTCAAA